TGTGTTTACGGCTTCTTATCTCTGAAGATGGACTCCCGTAAGAGTTCGAAAGCTCAAGTCAATGCATAAATTGATCCGTTGCTCGATGAGTCTTCTTCCTTGTCCATGCAAATACCCGAAACGCGAATGTTTTCATTCATTCGATAACGAAATATGCATAATTTATTGACGCGAGCGAAGACGTCCGAAACGTGATACGTAAATAAGGCACGAACTGTTGGACGCGAATACGCATGGCGAGGGAGAAGTTATATTAGCAATTCAGTTTAGATTACGGGGAAAATCTGTCAAGCGTAGTTTAAACCACAACGCATGAGACAACAGTGGGGGGACAGAGAATGGGGGTGAAGTTACGTCTTTTATCGATCCTTCCCACAGCCGTGCAAGGTTGCTCACGCGATCCTCACTGACGGCATGACTCGCTGCTGTCCCCTGCGTTGAAGTTTTCATCCCACTGGATCGATTTTCAAAGTTATCTGTACTTGTTTGCTCCGCCGTTGGCTCGCAACATTCGGACTATTATCTAACAAAGAATACGTATTAAATACCCTGCATTTTCGTTGTCTATCCTTAACTGACCTTGATGGAGAGGACACCCGGGCTTATAAGTCGGTCAAAATCCTGTTTGTTTGTCTGTCGGAAATGTAGCCTGACTTAGACAGTTGCCGCCCCTGGAACACACGATTTCAGTAGGCAGCACCCGTTGTCTGTTTCTCTCTCTCGTAACGCACAGTTCCTGATTCAGTGTTATCGATAAGCATGCAAGACCTGACAGACTGGAGACTGTAAAACTTTGATTGACGAATTTTTGTCTGAGTTTTGTTTAAAAATATCTTACTTGGGGGGGGGACGTTAGTTACTTTCTTTTCAAATGCAGCCGGATCACACGTACACTTACGCTCATGCTGTTGATGCTATCTTTGATACCAAACCCCCTATCTGCAACTTTTCGTACTTCTAGTCCACAAAGCTAGTCTCCAAAGCTCCTCCAGATTTCACTTTGCGCCAGCAAGGAAAAGTCGATTTCAGCGGGCGTTACACGCACCCAGGAGCGTGGTGCCTGGGCGGAAAGCTCACGAGCTATGATACGCTTTTTTTCCCAGTCAAGATCAAAAGTTGACAAATTAATGAGAATTGTTAACAGACATTTTGCAAGGTGCTTTTGATTAGGAACGCTCAGTTCGATGGGAGCGTAATATTGATCAGCGTACAATGTAATCCACAAGGCTTGTCAGCCATGTAAGGATTGCGGCTTTCGAAGGAACTCCTTTCATGTTGCCCCGAAAGAATCCACTTGATAATAAATCATTGTTTGAGTAGTATGTGTTTTTTCATGCCTTTTCAATTCTTTTATCAATGTGTGTATATTTTTTACATAAAACAGGCCCCCATATGCTTTATCTACTTATTTGATAGAGAATTACTTCTTCTAATTTCACTTTTTAAGAAAGAGTGCTTTTCGGTGTTTAGTATCATGCAGTCACTATTCTATGGTATCGTATCTGCGCATGCCCTGAAGCCGCTTATGAATTATACAAAATGTGTCCGTTCGCGCTGCGAAATTGTGTGAGCCCCTTGTTACTTCCTCTTAATAAAAACCGAAACATACCCTGTTTTCAAGCATAAATTTAGAAATCGTAATTTTCTACCAAGTAAGTATAGGAACGAAAATTTCCTGCATGTTATATAAAAATATATAAGCATTAATAAGACCATCGGCAATCAGTAGTAAAAATGCATGATATAAAGCATTTATTTTTTACTGAATGTGGTTTTTGTGAGGGCCGCGATGAAACCCACTCAAAAGCCGGCATCCTGGAGTGGCCGAATTTTCGTGGGATTATACTATAGGATTATCAAGATTATACATCCTTCAAAGTAATCCCCTCTTACTGACTTACGTCACCTAAATCACATCTATGACGTTCAATTATTTTTTCACGAATTACGCCACCTAGTGTAACTTCAAAGCCTTCATTTCCAATCTACAATTGGCTTTTTCTGACTTAATGTATTAGCGTGCACCACCTACGCAAGCGAACGACGGCGTGGGCGGCTTTAGACTAAACCCGTTCGGCCGTAATTAGTTGACCCTCTTGCTTCCGGTGTATTACCGCATCTTATTTAAAATTCCTTAGGAGACACTATTTTGGAGAAGTACAAAGTCAGAAGCTTACTTGTAAGCTCCGTCGGCAAATGAAATGACTGGCAAAAGCGTGGTCTAAGTGTTAAGAAGTGATTCACACTCGTAACTCTGCCTCGGCCTAAAAGTGGACTTTCTTCGTCACTTTGCCGATTAACAAGTAATTGTCTAATTGTTCAACGACCGTTTGACTGATTGCCATCATTTTCTAATCTCCCCCAGTACATAGATACTATAAAATGCTGAGTAAATTCATCAAGAACAACATCTAGGCTGCCCATAAACGCTTATCCAATTACTCCATCGTGTTCGCATTTCTCGGAGACGCTCCGTAACCCAAACTGAAGTTATTTCCCGCCGTTTTTTTACTCGAACACAGTAAGGCATTAACTTCAATGGAGCGAATCGAACACGCGTTTCCAGCACAGCCTCCGTGACCCTATGTTCCGCGTACTCTCATGGTTAAACTTTTAAGTTAAAAAATGGATTAGTCTATCCGAGAGAATGGCATTACTGACATTGACGAAAGAGACTGGAATGGCCATCTCTGACTTATTAGCCGTCCTTACCGATGTGCGTTTAAGAAAGGAAAGAAAGACTGTAAGGGTTTCTATTAACGCAGAGTCCAGGTTTGCGATGAATTAGGCCCAGAACACTGAAATCTGGATTATTGAAAGTTGCATGGCAGTGATGTTCTTTGATTCATTTGAATTTCAGGCCTTCCATTCAGCCTTTAAAAGCTTGCTTAGAGCTATGGCCTTCGTCGCACAGTAAGGTGAATTAGAAAGTTTAAATATATCAACGGCCAATAG